ATTACTATATTAATATATCTATACATTATTTACATTGTGCATTTTGGGGTAAAGAACCCAACCACAAGGTCGGTGACTGTACTTTATTTTGGCCATTGTATTTCTGTATTACGTTTGGCGATTCTACCACACCATAGTACCTCACCGTATAATTTATCTTGTGACAAAAGGAAATGCTATACCTGCCTATAACTGCAACAATGGGAAAGCATCGTATTACCATGGCAACTCAAGTCTTTATCACTCATCTCAGTAAATAGTGAATATACATTTTGCCTATCACACAAAACAATCACTCAGACAACTCTTGGTGTTCTAGCTCGGAAGGCACTTATGTTTTATTATGCACTAATACAAGTATATAATGTTCTACCTAAATATCATTTAAATAATTATGGTTATGACTGAAATTTTTTTCTAGATTTATATCACAGATCTTAAGATTTGTTGCCAATGAATTTTTGCATGTTGATGACTTCAATTAAGGTGATAGTAACATTTTTTGTTATTACCGCATAATAAAGACTGCAGCTGCAGTTGGAGAGGTTTTTAAATTATTTACCAAATATACCATTACTTATATTTATGCCTTGTTTTATTTTATGGTTTAGAGTTGCCTTGTCTGTGACACTATGGACAGATCTGCACGTTTAGTGGCTGCATTGAAAGATGTCACAGAAAATAAAATGTCATTCAGACAGGCATCACTTAAATGGGATGTGAAAACGAAAACTCTTCATGACAGAGCTTCTGGGATAGTTGAGATGGGGGAAAAGGTCCTACTAAATTCCTGACCACTGCAGAAGAAAGAGCACTAGCGGATTGGATTATTGGAATGGCAGAGCGAGGATTTGTTCTTGGAATTGTGTGAATTGAGTTGATTCGCCATGCAGATCAAGACTGGCAAGGATTTTGTACCATTCAAACGCAAGATTGACGTACCATAGATCATCTCTGGAAATAAAGGGCAGATAACTGTTCTGGTTGCAGTAAATGCTGCAGGGTCAGTTCTTCCTCCATTTTATGTATTTCCCCAGAAGCCACTCGTTCTTGGAATCCTTTGACAGGATCAACAGATGGTTCAGCTTCTTATTTCTGCAAAAGTGGATGGATGGATACTGAGGCCTTTTGTTCTTGGTTTGCCAACCACTGCGTCTGCATCTGCCGCCTGCAAGACCAGTCGCTTTACTTTATGATGAACATGAACCACACAAAAAAGCTTTGCCAGGATTTTCAGACAATCATGTTTACGAAGTGCCGTCCCAAAATAACCACAGATGGATTTGTGAGAAGTGGTATTTTCCCGGTGAACAGGCCACAAATCAGTGGAAGTTGCTGCCGCCTGATTCAATATTCACTGATCCTTAACTGCATCACCACCAACCACCCACAGTCAGTAGCGCTACAACCAACCAATACTCGAGCAACAACGAATGATATAATGCGAGAGGCCCTGTATGACACACTGACTACACCAGAAAAAAATATCAGAAGTGTTTAGAGGAGGGATACAATTTGCCTGGGAGCCCTACCTATCGTCTATGGGGAAAACGCAACAGACAACAAGCACCTGTACTAATAGAACTATCACCACCCTGTCCTTCAGGATCCAGCACTATCAACACGTCTGAGACTTCAAATTCACCAACAGAGATACCCACACATCGTCCTTTAGCCAGCACCTCTACAGAAATTAGATCACCGCAGCCATCGACATCCACCTTGCACTTGGCATGTGATCCGTCATTTCCCGTCATGAAGGGAATACTGACATACCCGTTGACAAGTGCAAGAAAGAAGCTTATTGTAAATAGAAAAAAAATCAGTGCTCAATTTCATAACAGGTCCTGATTGCCTAAAACACATCCAGGATCAACACTTGAAATTGTGAAAGGAAGTTGCGGCTAAGCAAAATAAAATGATGCCTCATTGCATGCATGATACAGTCATTGACCAAAAAAGACAACTAAACCTAAAGAAGGTAGCTGGCTTACCTGTGGGTCCATGCCCCATTCACAATGAGCGAAGCTCTGACAAAGTACTTAAAGCAAGGCTTCGCTTCTGAAATTTTATGGTAATTATGTTTCATCTTGCATTAAATAAAGGATTATAAGGTTACACAACTTCAATATTCATGAGGGGTGATATGCAACGATGATTACACAAGTTTAATGTGAAGTATCTTAAGAAATGACATCACTAGTTCATCACACATTTGAATTCTTCAAATATCACCTCACTTGCATTAATGTCATATGACTCCTGATTTAATTTATTAACTGTAAACCTATTAAAAAATATTAAATAGTTATACTAATATAGTAAAAAATAAAAACATTAATAATTATAAATGTTTAACATTTATGCTAAAAAATTGTAATTGTAATGAAAGCCAACAAAAATAGACCTGTTTCTGATTGGTCATGTCTGTTCTAATAGCTTTTTTGTGGGTTTTTTTTCATTTGAAACAAGAAGTTGGCAAGTCTGCCAAAAACAGATTTTTTTTGTCTAACTCAATACTTAAAAAAAATTACACAGTCAAGTATATTAAAAATTAAACTATATTACTATATATTATATCTATATATTGCACAACACTAATATCTCAATATTTATTTGTATTACCTCAGTAACTGGTAATCCTGTACAGAGCTTTAGCCTATAGTTCATACAGAAGGTGGTGGTGTTGTGCTACAGTTATCACATGGAAAAGAAGCAGCAGCTGTAAAAACATTTATATATGATATTATTAAAATAATGCCAGAATACAGTGTGTTAAGAGTCCACATTAAACATGATGACAATTTATCTGCACCCTGGAATTTATTTATTACCTGATGATTTATGTTAATAAAAGATGATTCTGCCTTTGCAATAAAAGATATGTTGTCTATTTACTACATCTTTTACATTTATATGTTGCATGTTGGCGGGGTTGAAAAAATACGCACTGCAGACAACACAGCAATGTTGATAATGATCCCGCAACACAAGGGAGAAATATGACATTTCATACCAGTAAACTCTTGTAAAATATTACACAAATAAACTGGCTAGTTAACACTTAACAACACAGAATAATTATAACTGAAAGCCCAGGACTAACCTGCGTATGTGTACTGTAGAGTATTTGGTACCTGACTTATCCATACGTGGGTTGAATCTCACCAGTTATCGTCGTCGCCCCCGTGAATTTTAGGTAGTCAGCGACTGGATTTCACGAATTGAAGCGCCGAACCCTACCACCACAACCACAACCACAACCACAACCACACTTTCCAGTTTGACGTCAATGTTAAACCTAGAGTTCAGCTATGCTAGTACGTGGATCTGCTCATCAGATTTCTGGGTAACGCAAAGCGTGGACAAGATCTCGAGCAGGAACAACCCCAGAACCACGCTGTCTCGGTTTTAAGTCGCATGACGTCACACAGTTAATTGTATCAATCTTTAATTGGTCCACGACACCTGTTCGTTCATCACCAAGATACTCATCCAGTATATCCAGGGGCGACATCTGGGGCAAATAACACGAACCACTTTCTGTTCTATTCTCATCATACTCTGATGCATGATGTAATGAACATAATGGAAGATTATAACGGTGTGACGTTTTTGGAACTACTTTATTGCATGCGCCAGAATACATACTTTTGTAATGGTGTTATACGTCACCTGATCACCCGAGTGTATATGTAAAAGTAGTGCGGCTGGTGTAACTGAAAATGGCGGAATAAACAAGAAGTTAAGTTTGAAAGCTCTCTGGTTTCTTTGATGTTTTGTGTGTTCCTGAGTCAACATATCACAAATGAGTACTGTTGATATGATATCAAGGACACCAGTTAGTTGGTACAAAATATGGATTTATTCATCATCTCAATATAATACGTGAAAATGTCCAAGGACTAACTACACGATGCATTTCAATAAATACATTTAAAAATTCGATTCGATAAAAAGGCACTTATTTCGAAGAAACGTGATTTGAAATCAATTAAATTCAGTATTATACAATTACTATCAATGCATTGAGTAACGTAAGACGATCCCTAATGTGTAGCTGTAGAAATAACTAAAACAAGAAAATGTTGAATTGTACATTAAAATTCGTTCATTATAATGACATTGACATCAGTAGCGTGAATAATGGAACTATCGCTCAGTCGCTTCCCTATAAGATGTACACAGTTATAAAGCTTGCTAAAAATGAAAATACCAGCGTTAACGTGTCGGGGATCTCAATTCCGACCTTCAAGTAAACTAAAAATATTCAAACCCATATTGGGAGATGTAAGGTAACAAACTTCTTATCGCATTTGGAGACCGTTTTTCATAAGAATGTCTTTTACACTAAGTGTGGAACTCTATAATTTAATAACGAACAGTAAATTAGAAATAATATTGTAGCAACTTTAAAAGTCTTTATTTATGAACAATCTGATAGTATCATCTATGATTGTGATTTTTTGATAAATGTCTATTGTAAAATAGTTGATTTTAAGATTGACTTTTCATTGTAGACTCTTATATACAAGTCCTAAAAAAGGTTTTAGGAAATTCAAACATGGACAATAGACAATTAAATCTGTTTTACAGAAGATTTAATTTACACAATAATATAAAATATCCGTACCCTAATTTGAAAGAAACAATTTTTTAAACAAATATTTAAATGAAACTCGACCTAAAATCACATGGAAGCACTAGTTGTTCAGTACCTAATATATTCATAGTATATTACGTCACATGTAGACATACTGCGTTGAAGAGAGTATGATGATTTCACGAGATGTGTGTGATTATAAGAACTAAGATTATAATAGACATGATTAGGCTATTGCAATAACAGACTTGTGCTAACACTGTATACTGTATTTTATAAATACTAAAAATCTCGATTTTGTTTCTCCCTCTGAATCGAAAGACTTATAAACGGACGGACGCCAACTAGCATAAATTCATCGTCGAAATAAGGAAACCAAGCCTTATGTATAACACGGGGAAATTAATAAAGGTGCAAAATCGAATTTAATAATAAAAAACGTTGTGTGCAAAAAGTATAAATATTTGGCAATTACTCGCAGCTGGAGCAAATCTTGAGTACTGTAAAGGGGGTAATTATTCACTGGGTTTTAATTTAGCTTATTTCGCTGACTGGAAAAATGCGCTAAATTAAAACACAGTGAATATGTAAAATTTAGCATAGAACACATTATCTAAATGATAAAACCGTGAATTTAAAACCCACTGAATATGCCTGAAATGGTAAATCAGTGAAATTTAAACCCAGTGAAAATTAGTCATTTTACAGTACATTGTAGTCGTGTCACCTTAGGAATATGGTGATTAGTATGAAGCTAATTAGCATCACACCGGGTGAGTGTACTGCGATGGGCGAACCGGATAAATACGCATACTCTGAAAGACATAAATTGAGAAAAGTTACAGATTCTTTTGTAATACATCGATTTGATCACGAACAATGATGGATACCTTGCGTAGATTGTCACTGTTTCTGCATTTTTACAGAGCGGTCCTTCCATGCCGTCAGTGTGTCGTGTCACAGTGCCAAAGAGTATGAATCATGGAATCAGCACAAAGTATGACCATCTCTACAGTTTTTTTTAAACATTTTTCGATATACTCAGAAACACAATACTAGTATACAAAAGCTGGATTACGCGATCGTGGTACAAAGAGACATAATTATTAAAAATCAATAACAATATGGAGAATTCCTAGAGAAATTAAATTATGGGATGTATTATAGAAAGTAAACTAATAACACAATCCAGCAGTATATTATATTCCATGAATCGTGCATATACGTGTTGACTATAAGCAACGTATTGAAGCGGGAGGGGCGTCACCTGCGCACGCGCGGAAATTGAGTTCCAAGCGATGAAAACAACACATGCTAAAAACGCAAAGACTCGTGGGTAGACGCTTGTTTGTAAACAATGGCACGCTATGGCCATCTGACGCATGCGAAGGTGACGACTCTTCCGCTTTATTTATCAGAAAAGTGGTATTCATACTTACCGTCTTCGCAGTGAGGACCTGTATACATGTCAGAACATATGCACGTGTAGCCAAATGTTTTGTCATAACAAGATCCGCCATTTTGACATGGATCACTAAGGCACTCGTTAATGTCTGTTGGCAAAAAAATGAGCAGAGGTTAACTTGTGATCGGGAATTGTGTTTCTATTAGATGAAGCACTTCTGTGACGTCTATAAGCCAATTGTTATCGGTATTGAGTATTTGCTCGTCATTTAGAATATGATAATTATCTCATTGACGAACGAGTATTGATCAAAACAATTACGACGTTCTGTGAACGAACGAGGTACTGACACAGATTACTAGCTGGCTGTTAGATGTACAGTGGAAATGTAGTAGCAGAGCTAGTCCAAACAGCAAAACAACATTAGAGGGCACTGTCGCTAAATGCAATATTATAATACTTATATCAATGAAAAACTATACATATTGGGGGGTTGAAAATAAATTTTTCAAAAAGAAGTATTTTTTGTAGAATGTCCTGAATTGTAAAGATTTGATGCTACGAATGTTTTGTTTTTTTGGAATATTGTTCCAAATTGTGGCACCTGTGTGAAATATTGTAGGCTGCTCAGATGTAGTTTTATCAGTGTTTACATAGAGGTGGAGTTGATGGCGCTGCCTTGTAAGTACTAGTATACTCGTGCTGATCAATAAATTGGAAATACTTAGATTAGACAGGGTGTATTCATAGATGTTGTCCATTGCCACCTCGGAGGTGATATACGCTCGTATGGCATACCCATTTATGTAAATGGCTTACCTGTTTCGCATGCCGTTCCTCCATATCCTTCTCTACAAATACACGAGAATCCCTCCGACGTTTCTGCGCAAGTCCCATCATTTTGGCAAGGATTCGAGTCGCATGGTGGAATCAATACAGCTGTAAAAAAATAAGCATAATAGCCTCTACAAATCTTACATTTATTTAATATTCAAATATACTTGTTATGATATAGGAGGTTTGAATAATGTGAATGCACAACAGTCAGTCGTCGCGCAGCGCCCATTCGAATTTCGTGTAACAACGTGTTTTGCACGTCCCATAAGATTCATATCGAACAAGACGGTATCCTGCCTCTAAAGTCTATTTAATGATACCCATCAACATTATACAAATACTTACATATTTCACAGTTGGTTCCCCGCCATTCCGGAGAACATTTACATAGATACGTCAACGTTTCGTCGCCAACTGCATGGCAGGCGCCATTATGTTTACAGGTATCCGCTGTGCACACTGCTGGATTTGCAACTATTTGGGATATTCAAAATATAGATTTAAATATCATTGGGTTATATACAGCTTTTCAAGTATTGCATTCAATAAATTCCATGAATTGGTAAATAGTTAACATATTTTACGTAAATATCATTGGCCTTATATCGTCCATATTTCATGTTCATTGACATCTTTTTAAACAGGGATGGCCTGTGACTAATGGGGTGTGTGTTTATTTATGTAAATAAATGTGCAAATAAGTTTGTAAATGGTATACACATTCGAAAACGTTGTAGCCAAATCTGCATTTGGGAATTCCTATAACCTACACCACTATCAGATGTATTCAGCACAGTCATCAGTCGATAGAGTAATATGTTGTATAATTGTATATTTTCTTACCGGTTTCGCAGTTCGAGCCTTTGAACCCATCTTGACACACGCACACGTGTTCACCATTTTCCTGCACGTAGCATACGCCCGCGTTCAGACACGTGTTACTCACGCACCCAGATGCTGGAAATACGAAGCACGATCGGATAATGAAACTAAAACCCAAAGAGTTCGATCACGATAGACCGAACTGAATCCCATTGAGATGTTTAAATGCACAGGAATATATCACGTAATCAACGTTTGAACCCAGTTAAATTCCATAATTGACTTATTATAAGTAAATACGGCAAGCAAATGACACCGAATAAACGGCAAGGTAAATACTACGTCAAATTATAGTAAACACGTAATGCGTGCGTGACTCGAACCGGCGCTCGCGTCAGGCACGCTGTACATGTTTACTACGTAGTATTTCCCCTCCCGTTTATTCGGTGTCATTTGCTTACTTTACATTCTGTCAACAGCAACTATGAGTTTACACAATATACGAATTAACTGATATAGTTATTGAATAACTTTAAAACAACAAAAATGATAACTTCAGTTAACAGGGAAAAAACTTACCAACATATATATTACAATTAGTTCCACCCCACCCAGTAGGGCAAGAGCACGTGTACACAGTACCGGTAGTGCCACATGTGCCGCCGTTCATGCACGGATTGCTGCTGCAGGAACTGGTTGGACCATCTGTGACATAGAATTGGAAAAGTATATAACAAGAAAATCTGCAGCACACAATACATAGTACAAAATTAGATATATTAAATTTCGCAAAAAAAAATAGTTAGAAATGTTGTCTTTATACTAACTACAGCGGCTGAAGTTGAATGTTGACAACTGATTATAATGTCAGACGATAGCTGTCCCCGACCACTCAACTGTTTTTCATCTGCCGGCCGATTACAGTAACACGTGGGACTGGGTGTAGACGAGAATAAAATAATTCTATAATTCTATAACTCGATTTCGTGTTTTGTTTGTCGATCATTGAGTATTATGTTCAACAAACGAATGTGTTGGTAAATATGAGTATTTAAATATAATGTTATCGTTTGTTTTTGTTGATCAATTACAGTGTAATTTAAAGTTTACACCGCTGTGTCGGTCGTTATCAAATCGCAAGTAATATACTATATTCAGTAGTATATATTCAATAAACACAACTCAAACTCCCGTGGACTTACAAATTTCGCAGTGATCACCGATCCAGTTCGAGGGACAGTTACAAGTATATACACCAGCGCTGGTTCCAGTTGTACACACACCACCATTCAGACATGGTGACGGAACGCACATGTTCTGCCCTGAAAGCAATATACAAAAAGCGCAAACAAGGCTTAGACACAGTGGCTAGACATTCCAACTCAATATAGTAGCTCAGGATTCACCATATTGGACAGAGATTTGTGAATATTTAACGCATTCAAGTGCACTCGTATTTGTGTGCGATTTAAATTTGTCACTTCAGTTGTTAAAGCTGAGTTGTAAGAACGACAAGTCGAATCATACCTATGAAACTACCGGCGAACTGGTGGCTTACATACTTATAAGGGAAATCCTTGGTACTTAGAAATGCATAAAACGATACAACATATAACAATAGTGTCAGCAGATGCATTTTTTATTGTATGCCCCACATTTTGCGCATGTTCCAAAATATTTCCAACGCGTTTACAGTAGTAGCAAATCTGCCTGTAAGTAGTCTGGAACCATAACACACGTATGCTGATATGGAATTCATGAAATGCATATCACCACAGTGTGACGTCACACCGAAGTGATAACGTCTACGCATATGATAAAATGTTTGACTCACTTGTTTGACAGTTGTCTCCTGTCCACCCAGATTGGCAATCACAGGTGTAGTAGATCCCAAAGTTATTGCACTCCGCAAAATTCAGACACGGGCTCGACGAGCAAGCATCCATAACTAAAACAATAAAATAAATACGACTTGACCTGATTGTACAGACATGTTTATCGAAAGAAAAGATTTTTACATTATATGTTCACATAGTGGGCCTCGCGTGTAGTTTGTAATTAAGCGTTAAAGACTTATGTACAAAACAATTTTGCACGGAACAGTGTAATAACGAGACGATGGCAGTCTGATGTCTGACATGTTTGTGAGCTTGATACGAATCTCTGTTGCATAATGCAGCATCCTTTGAATGGCCATTAACATTAATCAATACAATTTCAATTTAGTTACAATGCCGATAATCACAATGCCAGAATTGACTATCATTATAAATTTAGCTGCATCAAAATCCTAAACAAATAACAGTTTAACTTCAATATTTGTTGGGGATTTATACGATCCAAATCGACGCTCAGTTTTGCCGGATAGTGATTAAGTTCTACAGGGTCCGAAACTCTTAATTCTTTTTCGGTATAATGACCCAGTAGACAAAATGGAAAGCTTGTTTCCGGGGTTATGCCATAAACCAACGCCTGACCCAACAGCAACGCCTTCGCACACAGAACTGAGACACAGCTGACGTGAATAAATTGACCGATATGCGACACAGTTATATAAACATGTTAGTACAAAAACTTGATTGGCCGTTCTAATACATGTCAGGTTTGATAAAACAAACAGTTGGTCAGCTTTGACAACGCGATGTAACCGAATAACCACAATGCATGGATGTATTCAACTTACTGCTTTGACAGTATGTTCCCGTGAAGCCCTGCTGACACGTGCATACAATAACGGTGTTTGATACACTGCATGTACCACCATTACTACACGGATTGCTGTTGCATGGGTTCACATCTGAAATAACAATATATATTAAAACAACGAAAATATAATTTGGATCACTCAGTACTACGATGATAAAAGATGTTCTGCACAGTGATGCTAGAAGGCGTCGCCTCTAAATACGTGCTCCTACGACACGTGTGTGCTCGTTAACAAGGACAAGTACACATATGTTGACGTTATTGCTAATTTACACAATATGTACCAATCATATGATATTAGTTAAATATAAATTGCAACAATACGACCAAATTATTTTTACTGTTATTATACTGGTAATATTGTGCATACTGTGGTTTTCATCCACGTGTGTCGGGACAAACAGAGCCACTCACGGCCACGAACAACATATATATCATAAATATTTCATAACCACTTACATATCTGGCAGTTATATCCGTCGTAGTTGTTCATACATTCACACTGGTGGTAGCCAAGTAGGTTGATGCATACCCCACCGTTCTGGCATGGGTTACTGGCACACTCGTCTATTTCTGAAATTGTAGTAGCATACCTTATTCGCAAGTGGTCGCTACGGAAGGCAGGGAACCCCGGGCTACTTATTTTACCCCATGCCCCATAGTATCTACCACCATCGCTTCTACTGTTCGAAATAACTTGGTTAGTGACCGCAAGGACAACAGAGAATGAAATTGATAAGGAGATACAAACCAGTGTCGTGGTTCATCACTTAATACCAACTAGACCTGGACGGCCAATTTTGAATGAGGTACATTAAGTGGTCGTATGTTAATGTTCGTAGAATTAAAATGCGATATGTTATTTGGTGAATGTCGGCAAAAAGCCAGGTAATTTAGCAAAAAGGAAGAGAGTTAGTAAGTGGTACTACAAGCTTGACAGAGTTGCAGTGCGTGTTGGCTCAAAACCGTATAAACGTATGACCGTTTGTTGTCACTCTATTACAAGTTGTGGATTGTATACTACTGGAACATGGGGGCATAAAAACAAAAAAACAAAAATGAATTATTAATATATTTCATGCTGAACAATGCTATAAA